GGCTTCTTATTGGCAAATGCAGTCATGTGGAGAAAGCATTTAGCCAAATGTGTTGGCACCAGCTACACGGCATATGATAAATTGAATTAGTGTTTGCCCCTTTGTCTGAGAGAACCAAAAAAGGACAAAAGTGTCTCATACTGTCTTTTAATAGGTAAAAAAACTCCAATGTGTTTCTGTGTTCTACAGCGATCGACTCATCGTAGAGTTCAGATCACCTAACTGGTTCCACGGCCAAACTAATATACATATTGTTGTACGACGACCTTTTAACCCTTGCAGTACATTCTTTATTGACACAACTTAATTACACTTGAAATATTTTAACCCAGAAGTTCAATTCATTATTTATTTGAAAATAAATATTTGTAGTCACAGACCACAGTTGACATGGTCAGATGGCCAAGAAGTGTGATGTCACCAGGCTTGGGCTAAAATGAGTCTGAAGATGACGATGATACAGTCATCTCTCCACTGATATAAATAACTTTTCTTTCCATCTTGTACATGAACAATCCCAGGCCATTTCCCATCCTTTGAAAAAAAAGGCTGCGGTTTTAGCTGCTGATCTCACTGCCCGACTAATAGTGCAGGATTAACATGGTTTCTTTAGCCCCGCTATAATTCAAGAATAATATAATAGATTTTAATCTGTATTTTCCACAGAGGACAGCATGTCTGAAAATGTGGTCATCATCTTTTTTATCTTGTTTTCTACTTTGAATATCTACTATTTTGTGCCTACTGTAAAAAAAAAAAGAAGAAGAAGAAAAAAATCCTGGTCCAGTCTCTTGGGTTTTATGACATTTAGATCCTGAACTTTTCTAGTTTAGTAGAATCCAAGTAGCCAACAAATCATGTAATAGAACATAAGCTTCTTCTGTTTTTATCCAAATGAATCATGTTATTTTCACGTTTCTGTTTTTTGCTGTGATCGTCAACATCTGTATGTAAACCTCTTCTTTTTACTGATTTGTTTTTTCTCTTTTTTTCCTCACAACAAGCACGGTGTTATAACAACAGAGGAAGAGCAGTATTTAATAGAGCCGTTAAAGAACATATCCTCCACCACCTCCAGTCAATGGAACCTGGAAGAAGCACAACAACATGTTATTTATAAAATGTCTGCCATTCCCTCAACACAAGAGCATAACCAGGAGTTCAGCTGTGGCATTTCAGGTTGGTGAGCCTCCATTTGGGTTGGACCCTGTGTGGGTGGAACTGACGTAAAGTAATAACTATACATAGCAGGTTAAAGGAAGTGCTGGTTTGGTTGTAGGCCCAGGTTTTGGTAGACAAGACCGGGCCTCTTGTGTGTAATAGTTGCTTCTGGCCTGGATACCTTTCAGCCTTTTAAAGGCAGTCTCTCTACAGCTTTTATGAAAAGCCTCTTGCTGCATACAGATTGCATGGATCTGGATTTAAATGAGGCAAAAAAATCCTATTTGTAGAACCAATAATCGCATTTGGACCTTAAAAAACAGACAACTCAAATAGTTTAGAGATAAGAAGAAGAAATTGGAGAAAAGCACCAGGTGGATATTTAGGTATTTGGGCCACTGTCCTATAAGAAACAGCAAAGGCTGTCATCGCCAGGAAGCTAGCATGCCCCAACATGTAGCACCTTATAGCTTTTTCCCAGAGCATCTGGGTCATAAAACAAAGGCTTTAGCCGCGAGGTTCAAAGGGGCAGATTCTCTATGTGCATAAAGCACCCAGCAGCCAGCCCTCTGACAGAGATGATGCATAATGTTTGTGCTGTGGATTGTTATTTCATAATATACTGTAACTGGCCTTTGTCTCCCTGTCATTGGCAGACCTCAGCAAGAGCGGTGCACCTTGCCAGTTTAACACACCCTCCCCCGGCCACTTGGCCCACCTTCCTCCAAACAGCAGCAGGCATTCGAGCAGCACTCACAGACAAAAGCGCTCTGTCAGCACCGAGCGCTTTGTGGAGACACTCGTGGTCGCTGATAAAATGATGGTCGGTTACCATGGACGCAAAGACATCGAGCACTACATCTTGTCAGTAATGAATATTGTAAGTTTGATCCCACATTTTGGATATCTATTGTATTTGTCTTTTTTCATTCAGACGACACTTACTGATCCAGCATGAAGTGCAATCAGCAAATATTTAGCATTTGTGCTTAAACATAACTAGTTGGATAGACTTTTAATGACCTTATAGATCAGGGATGTCAAACTCATGTTGCTTCAGGGGCCACATACAGCCTGATTAGATGTTAAGTGGGCCGGACCAGGACAAGTATAACTTAATTACCCATAAATACCAAAGTCCATGTTTTTCCCCTTTGTTTTCATGCTAGGAGGTACACGGATATTAGAAATTTAATAAAATATAATTTGAAAAAAACTTTAGGACATAAAGTGTCTGTGCATTTCTTTACTTTCAAAATTCATCAAGTGGGCCGGATTGAACCCTCTAGCGGGATGATTTTGGCGCAGGCCATATGTTTGACACTCCGTTACAGATTATTCAGTTTTTATTGTCCAAAAATAATGCTTTTATATGACACAAAAGCCTCTGCCCACTTGACATCTAATTAGGATGTGAACCAAAATTGGTTTGACACCTCAAGTATCTCCACTGACCCATTTAAGTAGTCTCCATCACAGGACTTCTATTAAAAATACTGAATACAGAAATATTCGTTCAATGTGGAGACACCTGGTGGACATCATTTGTCTGACTTTTTGTCTTTTCTTCTTTTCTGGAGGTCAGGTTGCCAAACTTTACCATGATGCCAGTCTAGGAAATGTTGTGAACATTATTGTGACACGGCTGATTGTTCTCACTGAAGACCAGGTAGGAAAAAAAACACTCACCTACAGTAACACCACAAATATTATTAATGCAGTACTAGCCCGATTTTTTTTTTGGGGGGGGGTGTTTTTACGCATCTGGATATGGAAGCAGAGGCAGAGAAGACATTTGAAAAACAGACTAATTCATCTGTGTACCAGCGTACAGTGAGCTCAGTAATGACATACAGTGAACAACACAGCTGTGAATGTAAAACTAAAGAGTCTGCGTCTGGCCTGAGCACCGTACCGCAGAACCATGGATTCTAGGTTTTGTCCAAAGTTTGTTTTACGGACAGTGCAGTTGGTTTTTTTTCTGCTGAACTTCCTGTCTGTGACTGTGTGTTTAATTGTAGACATTGAATAAATTAGAGGGCCACAAGGTGCCCTGGCGGTTAGTGGTCTAGCCTTACAGCAAGAAGATTACCGGTTCAAGCTCAAGCTCCAACTGATGAGTTGGCATTTTCTATCTGTTTATTAGGACATTTTCTACAGTTTCCTCAGCTTTAAAAAAATCAAAAACATGTAAAAGTAGGTAAATTGGGAACTCTTAATTGATCATTGGCATGAGAGTGTGTGAAGAATGGTAAAAAATGGTCTCTACATGTGTGCTCGTGATGGACTGAAGTGTCCAGGGTGTAGCTTCTCTATGACCCTAAAATGGATGGATGTCATCGTGTCATAGAACAGGAATTACAGGCTTACTTTTTATTGTTTTTCTACATGTATACAGCATTAAACAGCTGGTCTGGAGGTTGGGAATTTAAAAAGAATCCAAACATCAGATCTGGTACTCGAGGTCAAATACGGGATCCTCTTAGGACCATTATTTATAGTGACTTTAAAGCATTATCTAAATCCTAACGACTGATTTCACTGAGCTTCTTTTTTTGATGTGATTACAGCGATGAAAGATGAAAGAGAAAATATAAGAGATCTTTCATCATGTGGTCACCACTTAAGATGAAAGATTCTGTATTTTCTTTTGACCTAGGGTTTTTACATGCTCTGTACGTATGTTAGCATGTGTGTAGTAAACTTTTTCCCCTTGCATTTCTTCAAGGGATCATAGAGGAGTTTTATCTAAAACCAGGTCTTAAAGAGAAGCTTCATGTTCCAGTGGAGCTGCACTTTGATCTGAACATCATTCTGTCAGTACTATAATTACAGATAAACCAAACATGTTGCTCTTGAAAGCACATAACTAATCAACTGTAAAAATGTATCAGCAGCCAAGCTAAGCTCAGCTCAGCAGTCTAATTTTTTTTAGTGTTTATGAGCACCAAATCCAGTATATAACTCCAAAGTTATTTCTCTTCAGATCCATCTCTTGGTTTACCTAGACCTTACTAGAACTGTGTCTTTGCATAAATCAAATACTAAAAAGCTCAGGCTGTTCCAACACCGTGTTCTCCAAACTCCCTCTGACTCTTGATCAGTTGTACTCCAAGTAATTCCCCCAGACAGCTTTGCTGCAGCAGCCCTTTTGGAGCTTGTCAGCGTACGTCAACACTCAGTGTAACGTCTTTGATGTTACCTTAATTGGATTGTAAATCGTTAGACTAAACGTTAAACTGGAGCGGAGAATGAGCTACTGCATGATGGGGATGTTCATGTATCAGAACATTCAGTTGTGTATGTTGTGGCCTCATAATCATCAAAGTTTAAACAGCAGTTATAATGACAAGTACTTTTATTGGTTTTGCTTGTGATTATAGTGTTTCTGCAAAATTTCGTTTGATTTCAATCAGTAAATACGTTTCTTTAAAAAATGAACTGCTAAATATTTTGTGATTGTAGCACAATGTTACACAAAATAACAGCAGAGGTTCAACTGGATGGACGTAGGTTCGATTCCAGACCCTGTTAGTTCACCTGTCAGACATTTGGTGACTGTGCCATCACAGTGATAGGTAATATAAGAACTCTTACTGGTGGCATAATATTATGGGCAATGGTCCATCCATCCATCCATCCATCCATCCATCCATCCATCCATCCATCCATCTGTCCATCCATCCATATATTCAACCTATTAATCTTGTCTTTCCATTATCCAAAAATGCGACATAACTTTAATTACTTGAAATTGACCATAGTCACTTCAGATCGTATTGTATAATATCGCATCGTATCAAGCACGAGTTTCAATTCTTATGTATAATGTCCTGGACATGGACTGGTGAACAGTTCAGGGTCTAACCCTCCACCCAGTGGCTGCTGGGTTCATTTTCAAATTAAAGTGAGAAAAATGAAGTGAGATTAATGACTGAGCTTTGACACAGTAGGATAAGTATAAAGTCCAAATCCAAACAGACTTGATCAATACTATCATTTGTCATGTAACAACACTCTTGTCCCTAATTGCTTGTGTGTTTTTTGCAGCCTAATCTGGAGATTAACCATCATGCTGACAAGTCTCTGGACAGCTTCTGTAAGTGGCAGAAGTCCATCTTATCTCATCATAACGATGGCAACAGCATTCCTGAGAATGGGATGGCGCATCATGACAACGCCGTCCTCATCACCCGGTGAGTGAGAGCGGACTCGCAGGACTGAACCATGTTTTCTTTCTGCTATTTTGGACTAAACTATAACAACATTTGTTTGTTTGTTTGTTTTTTAACCTATTACTTCAACAACACTATATTTTAATTCAAGCAAACAGGTTGTTGGTTTCTCTCTCAACAAGCTCATGGTTCAGCCTTAGACCCTGTGTGTGTTTGAAAAGTGCAGATTCAGCAGTGAACCTCCACATGTCCACTTCTTGTGCACACAAACTCATCCTGCAACCGTTAAAAATGTCGGGGAATAAACATCGCGGTACGGCAAATAAATGCTGTTTCAGACTTGCTGTACCTGTCATGCAGCAATTTATGTCAAGGGTGTTACCGCAAAAACAGCAAACCTCTGTCATTACCTGGAATAGGCTTTATTGTTGCCAGAACTGTTATGGCCACATAGCCTAGCAACTGAAGAGCACAGTCAACCCACAGGTTTTGTTTAGAGAAAGGGTGATTAAGCTAAGACCAAGATTTTGACTCTGTGGGCTTTACACAAAACAGCCTTCTATCAGCCTTTCTATCATTCCAGAGCTCAGCCTTGTTCTCTGTCAGATGATGTTCTCCAGCTGATTTGGCTTAGCGTTTTACCTTCAGTGTCATGTTCTCCACACACACACACACACACCGAGTGCTTAGTAGTATGTAGTCATGGCATTTATTTTTAGTTCTTTCCTTTTTCCTTAGGATGTGATTACGAACGTCTATTGTCTTGGTTTAATTGTAACAGTTGCAAAAAAACCTTTGGCATTCACATTTAGAAAGCACATAGAGAGAGAGAGAGATGACGTCAGTGTTGCCTCCTAGCTCATCATTTAATTTTGCTAAAATGTACATTTTCATGTTTTATTATTAGCATTCAATGAGACCAACCTAATACAAACAGCAATGTTAAACCCAAATGTCCTGTGCATCGATGTCAGCTGGATACAACACAGGGAAAAATAACAGGAAGTCACAGACAAATGAGCTAAAATTGGTCCAACTTAAGTGATTTGTGCAAATATAAGCCACGCCCCTGCAGTACTGATTTAATATGAAATATTTATATATTGTATGATGTGGTGAGCAGCAGATTCATTCTGCCTGCTCTAAACACCTGATACCTGATCTCTGCCTCCATACAGGCCCATTATACAGAAATAAAGGTAGTGCAACAGAATCAGAATAACTCACTTCAGGGAAGTCCAGTTGCCTACTTTAAACTGCTTTTGAGATTATGATGATGACTGAGATTATCCACAAACACACCAAACCTAAACCTCAAAGTTGTTTAGTATCTTCAGCTGTATAAACGGCTACATCAAAGCAGTCGGCCTGGATGATAACTTAGAAACAAGTCACGATAAATGTTATCACAATAAATGATAGCAACATATAATTGTGACTCATCCACTGATGCAATCATGAATAAATGATTAGCCTGTGAATGTGAGGTAACACAGCGGAGTGAATCAGATCTAACATTATCATCTGATAAAAGGGAATGACTCAACAAGTGTGGGTGAATAATTATCACTTTAGGGTCAGCAGTGTCACTGCACAGATTGTTAGCCAATTGAAATCCTGGGAATCCTTCTCACTAAATGTTTATAAACATAACTTCACTCCCCTGCGGGTGGTGCTATGTTTGCGGTTACGACGCAGTGGTTCATCTGTCGTATTGTTAGACAGAATTTGAGTACGAATTTGAGAACAAGTCATTACTTTTAGATTCAGAGACCATTGGCTGCCTCGTCTGACGCAGATGTGATGTGATTGTGTTCTGTGGAAAACGTACGGCTTCAACAGAGGTGGACATGAAAAAGTACTGTATTTTTACACCTCTTATTTCCAACCAGGAGCCTCCCTGATGCTAATGTAAATACAAGTAAATACAAATAGAGGGAAGCATTTTTGCAGCTAAACACAGAACCAAATTCTTTGTGTTGAACACAAGAAGGAGTCAAAAAGTTCAAAGACAAATTTAAAAAGTCCAACTTTAATCACTATAACACGTTACATGTCTCTCAGTCGTCTCTGTCAGCAATGGTATTTTTTATTGTTGTAACTTTGTCAAGTGACTCACAACTGACGATTGAAATGTTTTGATTTGGTTTGAAGGATCTCGATACCAAATAGATCCTAGATGTCTTGATGGAGTGATGGGCTGTTACCATGATGATGTGTCTGATGATACATTATTTACCTAATCATGCTGTTCATCCAGTCTTTATTTATGTCGACCTGTGCAGCTGTGCAGGACAATACTAAAAAATGTCATTTACACGAAACACTTTTCACTAAGAACATCATCATCATCATCATCATCATCATCATCATCATCATCATCATCATCATCATCATCATCATCATCATCATCATCATCATCATCATCATCATCATCATCATCATCATCATCATCATCATCATCATCATCATCATCATCATCATCATCATCATCATCATCATTGTCTTTATCTTAACACAAAAAGCAATGATTGACAGGCATAACAACAATCAGACATCCTCAGATCACGGCACTGGTCGTACCTCACTACTCCACTAAGAAAGAAAATGATAGAGACCGAGACAGAAAGAGAGGAAGAGAGGTAGAGGGAGGGAGAGAGAGAATAAAATGACCCACTGAAGGACAATTCAATTAAATATCCTTTGTCCTTGGTTTTATTAGATCAAAAGCTCTTGGAGATATTGCATCTGAATTGTATGATTTTATTTTGGAGAGCTGTCGCCCAAATTGCACCGCCACCACTGACTGACCCCTACCCGTGTAGGAGTCGTGTAGTTATCAGTTATCTATTTCGTGGACATTTTTTGTCTTCTTCTATCAGTGGGACAATCAAAGCAGGTGTTTTCTTACTGTCATGTTTGTCGTTGTTATTCTAAAGGCAGGGATGACTTGGTCCCTGCTCTGTGTGATCACATGTGGAAAGAATGGAGTGGCCAGAGCCAGTGGAGGAGAGTACACATACTGTAGAATATGTAAGGTTAATTCAATGGTGTTCTTTTTCCCTTTGCTCAGGTATGACATCTGCACCTACAAGAACAAACCCTGTGGTACCCTGGGTGAGTGCACCTCAAATGAAAACCTACACTTTCATGGTACTACTGTGTGTGACTTCACTCTTTGCAGTTTTTTTCTACTAACTCCTTGTGTCTCGTGCTGTCTCTGTGTGTCTTCATATAAACCGTGCTCAGTATCCTTCAGACGAACTCCATACACATCCTGCGAGACATAATAAAAAGGATGTTTTCATTTGTGTTGTTATGGCTCCTCAGTGACTCGCTCTTTCTTCTCCTCTGGTCAAGGCCAGGAGTTTTCAACCTCCTCAAACAGTCAAACAACACAGAATAATAAGTCCTGCTCTGTGTCTATTCTCTGAGTTTGTCTAAGGGGGTTTACACTTGGACTAGGTCAGGGGGTCTGCACCTCCAAACACCAGGGAGCATTCAAAAAAATAATTTTACCACCTCAGAACAAAAATTCACCAAGAGCTGCAAAAACTTTTTGACCATTTTAATAATAGCAGAGTTGCAGTATATGGCGTTTGAAGTACTGTAGTTATACTACAGATTTATATAGAAATACTAAAAGAAAGATAAATACTAAAAAAAACCCAAAACAATACACACATTTTTACTGCACACAATCAATCAATTGTTCAATCTACCCTAAAATTGTACACTTGACCCTAATTTCAGGAACGACGGTGACATTATGGGGATTTGCTGTTAGCAAGAAAGCAAAAAGTTTATTGTCGCGTATAAAAATTGTGTAACCTATAACCTTTGTGTAACATAAAAAACTCAAAGAAATATATATATATTTATATATACATATATACATTTTTTTTCTTCTTTTATATATATACACACACACACATATATATATATATACACATATACATATATATATATATATATATGTATATATATATATAAATATATAAAATTCAAAGGCCCCTCCTCTCTGTTACCTTCTTATAACACTGGTCAATTTGAGTCAAATCTGATCTTGAAGGGAGTTAATGCAAAGATGTGGTTCAGGGCCCAGAGCTCTCCCCTGGACTAGGCCTCAGAAAAAAGACAAAAGGTGTGTGTAGCATAGACTAGGTGGGAGACCTGGACTTGGCCGTGTGGAGAGCAGCGACCACAGGAGGGGATAGAGAAGAAGAGGAGGAGGAGTTGAAGAGAAAATGGAAGGGGAAAAGGACAATTATAGAGGGAGTGTTGTAGAGTTTTGCGGGAGGCAGATAGAGTGGGTGATAATGCTAGTCGTGGAGGCAATGGGGGTGGAAAAAGGACAGCAGTCTGTGGCACAGCCCATTCTCTCCTGCCATGCAGTTCCCTCCTCCTCCTCTCTTTCCCCTCTCATCTTCCAACCACCCCTTGCCCCTTCCCAAACCCCCTACCGACCCATGCAGGCTTTCTTCCCTCCTCATCTTATCTCTGCGAAGGCCCTGCAGGCACCACAGTATATCTTGGAGGTAATATTGTGACTTCAGGGGTGGTTTGACAGATTGACCGCATTCGTCACATTCCCCCAGTTGCTTTAATTGCCCTGGCATCTGCTTGGCTTCCTTGTTGTCTCAGCCCCCACCAACACATCTTCCTTTGAGTCCTTCATTTCCCACCTCTCCTCTCCTCTCAGGAGTCAGGTTCCTGGGGTCAGATGACTGGCCTCTGGGGGTCACAGAGTAGTCAGGGTGCTCCAGTTAATGCACCAATCATCAATATGTTAGGAAAAACTCTGACCATGTGATTTTTGTCTTGGTGTCTGCGCACAGACACACACACACACACACACACACTCAGCTCACTCGCTCTCTAACACACACACATTCTTAAACTAATCGTAGAGTAGCCACCCTCCCTCTCCTCCTCCTTTCTTCACCTTCGGGCTCCCAGTCTTCCCTGCAGTAATGGTTTAAGTGGCCTCCTGATTTGCGAGTCTATTCTTGTTCAACCTCTTAGTAAAGAGGATACAGAGCGTTGCCACTTTAGACACAGAGGCAGACCTTAAACTGTCTGCGGCAACGCTGACCAGCGAGGCACGGTGTAAGTAGAGGGTCTCTCGAGCAAAGACAGGTGTGAGGTGTGTCCCGGTCACCGACATGACGCTCTGTCTGACCTTATATATTGCACGCTGTACATTTACACCAAAACAGAGAGTAAAAAACTGCATGTGTACGATTTTTGTACAGCAACGGCAGCAACGAACATAAATGTCACAAAAGTTTATATGATGAAAAACAATGACGAAATAAGTCAGTGTTAAAGCCAGGCCCAGTTTAGTTGAACACAATGCTGATTTACTTGCAGGAATTGAAGAAAGTCTCATCTTCTTCAACAGCTCTGTGTTTCTCCAGTGTTAGTTTATATAGCCATCTGCTGCCACCTAGTGGAAAAGTATTTAATTATTCTCCAAGTAAGCAGTAAATAAACAACAGTTTTCAGACCAATCAAGAGAGAAATGAGATCATTGTCCACTGCACCGGGCTGATTACATCACGCTAATGTGCCGCCGAACAGTAGCTGAGAATCATCATAGTACAGTTTTTGTTTTTTGCTTTAGCTGACGGAAACTTTTAATCAGTGTTTTGTTGTTATAATATAAAAGAAAACAAACTAAGAAGAAACACTGACAACAGCTTCAAACAAACTTCTCAATTTAAAAAAAAATTCAATCCCATTTCATCGAATCAGTGCTACTGCCACATGTGGCCCTTTAATCACTTCATTAATTTGAGCCTTTCCAAAGTCGTCACCTGTTATATGTATTTCCCCTCTGAGTCCAGTGATCACCCACTCGTGTCCTCTGTTTTGATTCGCTCTTTCATCTGTTTAAATCTTTTCTCCCCCCCCCTCTCTCTCTCTCCCTCTCTCTCTCTCCCTCTCTCTCCCCTACAGTTCTGTTTTCCTTTTCTTTTCTTGAACACCTCCCAGGTCTGTGTCTCCACCATGCACCCAGTTGCTATGGCTGAGCTCTGTTAAACCAATCACTGTTGGATGATGTTAAACACAAATCACTAGTGGTGTGCCAGTGCGGGAATGCTGACATGGAGGCCAGATTTAAAACTGCGGCTCGTTCCAAAAGCACAGAGAGATTTACCTGGCACTCGTCGGGCTTACTCAGCATTTTTTGAATTTTTTATTGTTCGAACACTTTGGTTGAGGCCAGCAAGGTAAGATTTGAGTAGCGGTTCTCCTCCGCACAGGCAGGTGAGGACACTGTGATAATCTGATGACAGGGTTAGCGATCGTGTCACAATCTTCACAAAAATAATTGTCATTTGAACTTTAATGAAGAGCCCTGAAAATAGTCCTAGCTCTTCCAATGCATGCTCATTTTCACTCAGAGTGGTAGGAATTACAGTTGCCTTACAGCTGGTTGTGGGTTCGATTCCACTGACTATGGCAGTAGGTCATCAGGACACTTAACTCTTAGTTAATCTTTCACAAAGTGGTTCAAAGTCTTAAGAACTTCAGTCTGGATCAGACAGTTTAATAGAATTGTCTTTGTCTTAATGTTAGAGACGTAGACATCAACATCAAAAGGAAAATATTGTAAATGTTTGTCTTTGAATATTTCTTTTTAATTTGTCACCAACTTAAAAACATACTTCTCTGGCAGAACCTAATTTTCTTTCCCATCACACTGTTAACAACAACCACGGCCTAGTACACACCGTGACACACAGACACACACACACACACACACCTGCTTTGTGCTGTCATATGATCCACTTTGCAGTCACCTGTAGATGTAATCTGTGAAGAATTACCTCCTGTCTGCCTATCTGACCTGTCAGGCTTGGGGAAAAAGGACTTGCCACACCTGGATTGTGGAGAGGTTTTTAACTTAAAACACCCTCTCCTCTCCTCACCTCTCCTCTGCTCTCCCTCTCTCCCTTTCCCTTTCTCTCTCTGCCTCTCGGTCTCCCCTTTCGCTCTTACTCCAGTTTGGAAAATGAGGAAAACATATATTTTTTTCTGACAGGTTTCTGCAGGGGCACAGTGTTGGTGAGGGGGTTCTTATATTCCCCTCCTTGGCTCGCAGTTTGGCGACCCCCTGTTTCTGTAAATTTATATGCATAAATCGACCCCATGTCTAGACGTTTTCCACTGCTCTCTGTAGTTTGCAGGATGTTGTGAAAAAGAAAAGCGAGGCCTCGTGGCCAATGATGCTAAACTCAACACCCCGACAGACCAGACCGAATCTCTGAGCAGCAGATTGTCTTTCAGTACGGCTGCAAACAGACCGATCATATGTGTGGAATCCTGATTTTACGACTAAGCCTCCTAAGAATGTGTGTTTGTATGTTTATCTGGCATGCGCGTGTGTCTTTGTGTCCAGGCTTGGCCTCCGTGGCTGGAATGTGTGAGCCAGAGAGGAGCTGCAGCATCAATGAAGACATCGGCCTCAGTTCTGCTTTCACCATTGCACACGAGATTGGCCACAAGTGAGTTTTTAGATTCAGCAAAAATAAGAAACACACACACACACACACAAGTATCTATCTATCTATCTAAAGAAGAATAAAATTAATATTAGTCAACCTTCCCAAATATGACAAAAAACTGTTTCCCTTTGGTATATTGCCAGAACAGAGAGACAAATGACAGCAGGTACATGTATGTCAAGAAAAAAAGATGCCAAAACTCAAACTTTTAGTCAGTACTGCTCATCAGTGGGACGAAGAACATGTCAAGATTGCAGCATTGTTAAAGTTATCCTCTTAGCCAAAAAGTTTCAGGACAAATTCTGTAATTGCCAATGCTATATCTCTACAAATCCTCCATTTAGATTCCTTTCTTGTAGAATTCTGGGGGATGTCTTGTCGACATGAGCTCTAAGGAGAATAACTAGTGTAGTTACCTGGTAATGACCAGAGCAGTGTTTCCCAGTGTTTTTTTCTGGGGGACCCATATTTTAAAAGTCGCAAACCTTCGCGACTCAACTTAATAGACATTATTCTTAAACTCCAGAGAAACATGATGTGAGACGACCCAAAAAACAAAACAAACTCTTGTGACCCACCTAAGGGTCGCGACCCAGTCTTTGGGAAACAATGGACTAGAAAAGCGGGTGACACTGGTGGCCCCTGTTACCTCAAGGTCACCTGTGTCCCTGACTCACCTTTCCTGTTCACTGAGGTCTCTGAAGCCTAACTATTTAGTCATTTAGCTGCTAAACAGTAAAACCAGTCCATGGTGGTTGTCTTTTCACTGAAGAGCATTAGGTAACAACTGATTGGTCAGAGAAAGTTAGCTTACGTAATTGTGGGCCAGTAAAAGTGAAGATAGCCAGTTTCATAACTTGAATCATTTTCCTGTCTGGTGTCCTCACTGTTGTTGTTGTTCTTCTGCTTCAGATCCTCTCAAAAGCCTTTTTATTGCTTTTCATGACTGAGCGCTTTAATAATTGCTCTTAAACAAACAGCAGTGACTACTTGGAGACCTGCATGCAGCCCCTCAGAAATCCTGACCGTATATCCACATATTTCCCCATGTAAATGTCAGTGTCCACATACCTCTGGCTCCTTCCTCCTGAATATAAAGCAAAATAATGATGATGTATTAGTCCTCATATCCCTCTGGAGAGAGTACAGCAAGATGGCGATTTCCTTTATTATGTCTCATGTCTGCTTCTGTTGTGGTGCGGTTGTAAAAATAGTCTCCGCTTCTAGAGGATGTATTAAAAAAGCACAGTGCAGTGGGGTTTCAACCGGCGTGATTTATTTCCCGAGTAGGGTAAAATGTCATAAACACCAGCCTTAGAAAAACAGGTTCAGACGGTGCAATGTGGCTGGGTTTGTTATATACATTAGACCTGGACCTGAACGGTGCTCCTGGAGAGTAAGAAAAGAGAACGCTTTGACATGCCGCTGTAACCTGAGATTCCGTCTCAAATGATATCCAGACAGATAAGGTTTTTCTTTTTCAAACAAATTGTTAAAATGATTTATTTTCAGACCGCCATGTAAAATAAATTGTTGAGCAGCTTTCTTAACAGACCACAGAGTTGGGAGCTGTTTGGGTTTCGGGTCAGTCCCTGGGCTGTGGTGCGGGGATTGAGCTCAGAGACCAACAACCGACCCACTCTTCCCCCTGCTGCGGTGGATGGCGACTGCCACCACAGCCTGCTCAGACCTGCAGGCCATGATTGACAGGCAGGCATCAGAGTGGTCATTAGAACTTTTTCATTCCTGCCGTGCTCCAGACGGGAGCTGACCCTTGACCCCTGGCCCTCCACTGTACAGCTGTTTTCAGTGCCACAGAGCTTGAACTTTACAGGCAGGGCCACTGAGGAAGATGTCCTCCGGTCAGCATAGCTGGACCTTCTCGTGTCACTCCACGGCCAAAGACTTCAGCTTTGTCTGTGTCTGTGTCTGTGTCTGTGTCTGTGTCTTTGTGTGTCTAAGTTTTGGGATGAACCATGATGGGATTGGGAACGCCTGTGGTACCAAAGGTCACGAGACAGCAAAACTGATGGCTGCCCACATCACGGCGAACACCAACCCTTTCTCCTGGTCAGCCTGCAGCAAGGACTACATCACCAGTTTCCTTGAGTAAGTGGATCACACTGCACCGTCTGTTTGCCGTCTGTTTTCTGCCTGCTGCTGCAGCTGTCTCTTCTCACGACACAGTCCAGTGGGTCATGTTGTGACCCACCTTATATGGAAGTAATTCTTCACCTCACTTTCATGACTGACACCAAGATCCCAATGAGACCACACATTATACCTGGGTGTCTCCCACACCGACGTCACACTACTAGAGTTGGAAAGTCAACATCAACCTAACCTAAGAAACAGACCATGAACCCATCACTCCTGGTGGAGTTGCCAAAGAGTTGGAAGCATGGATTATCAGACCTGATCCTCTGGATCACTATTGGGTAGATCATGGTTGGACTGGATTGGCCTAGAACTGTTAGCCTAGAACTGTTAGCCTAGAACTGTTAGCCTAGAACTGGACGATTGAACACAATATACAACAACGCCATTTTCCAGTAAAGATGCCGTCACTTCTGGGTTAAGTTTATAATTATTTAAATCATTCGTCTACTATATTTACGTTTCATTTGGAATGTTATAGTGAGTATTTAAATGGTACTGTTGAGTGGGTTTGACCAATGAAGATGTAGCTGAAAGGTCATGTGAGTTTAAAGCATCTCATCCAGGAGCTCCAGTCCTTCTGTCAGGTCTTTTTAACTTAACAGAATATTTGGGGTTCAATTTGAACATGCTGTTTTTATTCTTAATTAAAGAAAGTACATTCATAAAAAGTTCTTGTATTATCCATGACTAAAGAGGAGACTGAATCCTCCAGGCTGCAGTATGGAATTGGTATCAGACATGGAAAACGCTTAAGGACTAAGTTAGAACGCTGAAAACCCATCACCGATAATGTGTCTAAGTGCATGACGTGTGTGCATGTACTATTATTATTGTCCCATTTGGAGGGCTCTGTCAGGCCATAATTATTGTTGCTCTTTGGTGGAGACCTTTGTTGCCATGAAGTGAGGACTGATGTAGTTTTACAGACAGAACTTTGTACTTTTTTAGGCTCATACGCTGCTGTAAAACAACTTCATTGTTTAGGCGTAACAGTTATAAAGTGGTCAGGAATGTGTTTGTACATGAGAAGCACGCTATTCTCGCTAAAGCAAACAAACGACCCGCCTTGCAGCAGCAGCGGTAGCAGCAGCAGATGTAAACTTTCGCAGAGACCTCCTGAAATAAGGTAAATCTGGGACAGAACCAGGTGGTTCTGCAAAATGATGACAAAAACACTGTTATTAATATTGCCTCAAAGGAAGAGAAAAATCACATTTGCGATAATAAGCCCTTTCTGCTGCAGGTGCACTGTCCTTATTACACAGCGCTGCCAGACAAGCAGGTCTGTATTACAGTAAATAAAACTGCTTCAGCTGCTTTTTTCTGTTTCCCTGCAGCCAAGGGGAATGTTGTTTAAAAATAACACCGAAGATTGATTTGAATCTTGAAGAAACTGGTTGGCTGATGAGAAAGACCCTCATATTTGGGACACAGTACTAGTGTATTAATTGTGACACCAAAACAATCGACCATTTACAGAATACAAATTCTCCTCTGATTTTTTTTGCCTGTTAAGATCCTATTAAAATACTGAACCCCCCCCCCCACTTTCTTATATAACTGGAATTTTAAACTTTTATGACGATGGAGTTTTGGTTGTTTTATTAGATGAACCTATGAACAATAGTAGGATCCAGTAAAATGTGGGTTTTTACTCTCCCTCCGTCACCCTGCATTCTTTCCTTAGCTTTGGCAGCTAATGTGACCTGCTGTGACCTGTTGACCCACTGACACATCGTGGTGTGGTAGCGTTTGAAGGACAAACAGTAATTAAACTCCAGGAATGTCACTTGGCTTATTAACTGCAGTAGTATAAATACTAAACACAAAAAGTACCGCTAATACAGTTATTTCTCACCGAGTAATGCTGGTGGTGTGTGTGTGTGTGTGTGTGTGTGTGACTCTGTGGGTTAGTGTTTGGTTAGCACGGCCCTCCAAGAAAGCGGATAATAGCAGCTGTGGTTGTCAGATGATGTTTCCGGCTGAAAGCTGTTAAAGCAGGGTTAGTGAACAGCACTTGTGACAAAGATGACAGTATTATACGCCAGCTTCCAGCTGGGACACAAAGAGCCGCTTCTTTGCCGCTCCATCAGGTTCCTGTCCATTTCTGGCTCGGGTGTCCGTCCGCAAAACTGTTTTACCTCATCCCTTCGGCTGAATCGCCCCCTCGCCTGGCTCATTATCCCTCCATTTGTATCTCATTGTTGCTCAGGCTTCTTCTTTTCATTTTGGTTTTATTGCCTTTAGCTTTTATGTTTCTGTACAAAAGGGTTCTGTCTGTAAACTCTAATTATCCTCCCTTTTTCTCCCTCAATCAGGGTTTTGGATATCGTACGTGGCTCTCCGTGCCAAGTAAACAATTTTGGCTGTGGTGTTGGCCTAGATTCACCGTCTTGCTCGAGCAATATGTGCTGCTTTGTTTGGGTTGTTCTTTTGGAGCGGCGAATGAATGCACTCACAGTTCAGTCATAGTTTATTCTCTCAGCTCCGCGCGCCAATCTGCTATAAATGTTAAACGGCGGGCAGTTTGTGGTGTGTTCAGCTCTGAGAGGCTGGTGCTTTATTAAATCTCATATTAGACTTTGGTGACTTCTGCCGTATGATAACTGTTAGATCGGTCCCATCCAATCATCCTCTGTTCCATCGCCGCCTTGAACCTACTGGGATGATTATGTATAAATGGAACGACCTGTGTCAGAGTCTGGGCCCTAACAATCGCGCTCCCTGTGAAAAGACATTTTCTTCGACGTAATACGTCAAAGTGGACCTGCCAGACAGGAAGCCTTTTGCAAATGATGTCAAATAATAGCCTTTATGTCTGAACCTTGACTTTCTTGTCTCTCTTCCAAACATTAAAAAGTGCAGCTCGGTCTGAGTCGACACGGAGTCTGCTCTGCTCACAGGCTGTGTCTGTGGTGAGAGGGTCTGCTGGTGAATGGCAGCCAAGAAACGGGATTATTCCATTCAGGTAGATGAGTGAATAGAGAGAGAGGAGAGGAAGGACAGGAAGAAGAAGAAGAAAAAAACTACTCTTCTTTCTGCTCTTCATGTGCGACACTCTTCTTTAATGAGTGCCTCTTTGGTAGGAACACAACAGTGTTTCAGATTTGTTTAATCCCTTCTGTCCAATATTGTCCTCTGTCTGTGGACTGTCAACTGCACTGAGAACAAGACTGCCTTAAGGTTTTCAATTAGGTCTGTCAGCAAATTTATTCAGATTAATTGCAGGGTAGCTGTGGAGATGTTATGATCAATCATGATTAATCATAAGGAATCTTCATAAACTGTCATTCCTAAATATGATTTTGCTGGAACAGAAAGACAAACAACAGCAGGTAGATGTCTGTGTTTCACACCTGTTCTTATTAGTGACTAATCCAAATGATGGGATTATTAATTAAAATGTCAAGAATAGCATAACTATGTTCCTAAGAATAACTTTGTAAAAAAATGTATTCTTCTTCAGTCATTATTGTGTATCTTAACAGTTAACGATTTTAAAAGAAACCTTCTAATTTGAGATTGGTAAAATTCAATGGGATGACTTCCACACCAGGTCACAACCTGTTTTGTTGCCTCGTCGAAGGATTAGATAGATAGAAATTTTTCAAATGTTCTTTTTAGTTTTGGGTAAAGAAAAAAAATCCTATGAAGCTAGATCAAAACCTGCTGGAGATCTACAAGGTAAGAACGTTGACAGGTTTTTATTTTAGAACTGACATTTGCGCTGACCTCAAAATCGTTCATTATTAAAGGTTGATAAAAAGGATCAAATAAAACAAATCAGGTGACAAAGATATAGTGATAAAACCCAGGGCTCCGCTCAGGTACACCTGGATTTGCACTGATTTTTAATTTGATCTCCTTTGTTAAATACGTAAACATAAGGGCTTTAAATAAGTGAAGTGAAATTCTGAAGCGACTGCTGTGGACATGTCCACGTTTGTGGGCCATATGACAGTTTGAGAACCACCGCCATAACCAGACGCAACAACAAGAGACACAACACTGACTTTCCTTTTTCTTCTTCTTCTACTGTAACCCGTGTGTGTGTGTGTGTGTGTGTGTGTGTGAACATGTGTTACGTGGCCTCTGAGAGTTCCCTGTGAGTGCACATATTTCTATCTGACAAAACAGACTAAACATAATCCTTGGCCTGGACGTATGACCGGTGGCCCACTCCAGATTCCTCTCTTCCTCTCCCTGCTCTGTCACTTTATTGGCTGCCGTGTGGATCCAGTGTAACCAGTGACACACACGGAGCGGTGCAGCGCACAGGCGTATGATCAGGGGGAGTTTGACTCTCTGAGACAGCGGCGGCCGCCGTCTGCCCGCTGCGGTCGCCTCCAGTCAAATGTCTTTGCTTGTGTTTCGGCGCTGCTTCTTGATTAGGAGGTGTTGAAGTGTAATATCAACATTAATAACATGTCATTTTACATCCTTGACAAGCTTCCTCCTGCAATGGTTAGGTTGGTGCTAAAATGAAATGAGTCAAACGCCGGCCAAGGCCCTAATAGAGAGGAGGAGGTGTTGAGGCTGCTTAAATGGTTCCTTTGTGTGAGAAACAATCCTATTGTGGGTTTGTTTTTTTGACAGCTCAGGTCGAGGGACGTGCCTGGACAACGAACCTCTGAAACGAGACTTCTTGTATCCAACAGTGGCCCCGGGGCAGGTGTATGACGCAGATGAGCAGTGTCGCTTCCAGTATGGAGCCTCGTCGCGCCAGTGCAAGTATGGGGTAAGAAACCAGCCCCTTTATTGCTGCTCTCTGCCACCAACACAATGTATGTGATCTAGTCAATAAATCAAACAACAAGAACCATCAGAGACCATCAGGAAACTAAGCACTGCATCCTGTCATATAACAGTTACAGTTAAGGTTCTTTTCATCTTTCATGAAGACGTTTTTTTCAGCACTGGAGACAACTTCAATGTCAGATTTTAAAATATTCTTTTTTCAGTGTTCTAACATTGTTGAGAACAGACAAAAAAATCACCATGAAAATCAACCTGGGATTCAGACTCTCTTTCCTCCATTAACAAGCCCAACCCTTCAACCGCTGGGCCACAGCTGTCCTCAAATTATTATTAGAATGTATCATTATTGTTTCCAATGTGTCCTTGATGAGGACATTCTGTCAGGCCACTGGTGATGCATTTTTATGACAGAAGCTGCGGGCTGTTCACCACGGGCCACAGTTGGCCCCAGAGCCCGACTTTGGACATGCCTGTTTTATAAAATATTAACTGGAAAACCTTACTCAAAATGCCAAACTTCATAAGTCACGGCATAGTTTACAATTAGAAATGATATCACAAAACATTACAGATCCCACTACGGCCTTAGTAATCTGCAATTTGTTGTGTGAACAACTTTGGGTATTAGCCCTGGAAAATCCACATCACAATTCACAGGTCTTATGTAAATAAAACAACTCAGAAGACTAAACTTCAGTCAATCTTTTTTTTTTCATAACTTCTTGTTGAAGCTCTGATTTATAAGGTCCATTACTGAATGTTAACTGAATCGTTCCCAAGGACGTTAGGGCCTAGACGTAATGGATGTGAGTAACGTCTTGTCTTGGCCGCGGCGTTATTGCGGACCTTACAATTAATAACTGTTTACATTTCTGAGTGGAGACTAAAAAGGAGATTAAACACTCAGGGGATAATTACCGTATAATTGTGTGACAACTGGAGGCTGGTGTGGAGCTCTGTTTCTACACACCTCCTCGTTCTTCTCTGAAGCGGTCATAAGAATGGATGATAGATTTATTTTTCTTCACTTCTTTCAGGCTTGTTATCACAATTAGTCAGACTGTTGCCCAAACAATGGGAAAACGTCAGTGCGTAAAGCGACACCAGCTGTGATGGATGGACAACAAGCACGTGGTGAAATAACAGGCTGAAAGGAACCGCGAGGATTCGATAAACAATAATGTCACACTGCTTAGTGCTGTGTAAATATTTGGACACAAAAGAAAGAGAAAGAAAAATTATTCCGAGCTAATGTCGTTGTTTTATGTCATTGAAAGAAATCTCTGACACCAAATCACACCAGATCCCTGGTGTTTTGATGATCTGTGGTCTTAAATTCAGCACGAAAGATACACCTTTATGAGACTCCTGAGCCGTCGGGGTTCCTAGATATTCTACGGGACTTGACTGGACACTAAAGAACTGTTTGATGGCAGAAGAAGAAATTCTGGTATTTATCCTACAAGGAGCTGCATGCCCGTAACGATGGTCGATGGAGAAAGGAGGGATGGAGGTGTGGTGGACCACACCCTGTTTTAAGGAGGGTGGAATGTAAGGTCACAAGGTCAGAGGTGTGAATGTGGAGTGGTACCATCCTTATGGACTGGTACTTTCACCTGAGTGACACTTTCCTTTGGAATGAAACTGAACTGTAGAAGAAGCCTCTTGGATAAGAGGTGAATCGTCTTCAAGAAACCTACTCCGTCCAGTTGCCCTTAGTGTAACTATTTTTGGATGTTTCTCCAGGTTTTTTTATTTAGAAATTTCAGAATCATTGATCGAGGCTCAGAGCAGATTGTCAGTCTTTAGACTTCTTTTTGTTTTCCCTCAGAAGAACGAGTCTCCATGCATACAGGAATACACTAGGAGTTCATTTTTCCTTTCACACGGGGTTTTAATTGATGACTAAACATTTCGGTTCAACAATCCTATACGTGAATCATTCTTTAGAAGTGCCAGCCACAGGGAACGCTGATGCAATGTCTGTCTTTGGATGCACCTCTGTAGGTTCTCTGGTCTGGTGTTATGCTGCGCCGCTGCACGTCTATCGCAATGCAAAGTAACTCCTTAACATGATTTAAAACATCAGTCATCATTTTTATGGCCTCATAACATTCAGAATTAGGAATCATTTGGACAACGTGAAACAGGATAAATGACTGTTTGGATGTCGCGTGTAAATGACAGCAGTGTCGTCCAACATTAGCCTGGTTGTAGCCAACGTATCTAAATAAAAGCTGTGGCCTTGGCCATGGTGCCCTTAAGGATCCAAAGTCTTTAAAGATTCTTCAACTACAAGGGTTAAACAGTGTTGAGTTACAGCACAAGACTTGGTGTCAAAGGTGAGAAGAGTTACACAGCAACGGTGAAAGAAATTAGTATAAATTATTTCACTAATTAGTTTCCTTTCCTCTGCCCAGTGCGGTGATTAGCCTGTTCTCAGGGTTCCAAGCACTTCTCAAACTTGAGCAACTGCGTTAGCTGAAGGTTCGAAAAATAAACAAGCTTTGATGGCTTTATTAGTCGGACCCTCGCTGCGCCTTTTATCGCCAGCTTGTTCTTGTTTTTGCGTAAATCAGTCAGTCCCTTATCCATGTTCGTTCAGGCCCCGGCCGCTGACCTTTCAGCAGGGTCCAGCTTATTGAAACCAGCTGGCAGAAGAGAGTCACTGCAACCAGAGAGTGGCAGTTTGCTGCTGTATTTAATCTGGATAGGCTCAGGGAGCTGCAGGGCTGTGGCATATTTACTGACCCGAGGGGTCAGATTCGGTGCGTGGGATCGTAACTCTTTTTCATGGGCCTGCTCTTCTGCCACACAGAATTGTCCTGTAAAAGCCTTTGAAGATGAGACGCCAAGCGACCCGGTTAGGTTTAACGGGGAAATCTAATGCAAGGTTGTGCAGAGCTGTCCTTTAAACATGTTTACAGATTGTGGTTTTATTTGTTTTGGGTCAAATTAGGGCACAAACACACAGACAGACACAATACTGCAGTTATGACCAGGTCGGAGGAGGGAGGTGCAGAAGACTGGGGTCTGATGTTTATTCAGACAACTCAGTAATACTGGAGATGTTTGTCAGACCTACGAGGCACCTTTATCAAAGGCTCGTGGGGGAGGGGGGGGGGGGGTGGCTCG